TTTATAAGCTTCGTATATTGAGAAGAGTACGCTATCAGGGTGTTGGGAAGCGCTGTTCAATTCCTTTTATTCAGTTATATTGCTTTGGGTTTCCAGAGAGAAAACAGCTGCTTCCTCCCCTTTTTTCGTTTCTTTTGGGGTTAGCACCCTATATATGTCCAGTGGCACCATCTATAGAAAGTAATTTTTAAAAGTAACCTATGCTTTTGCATTTTGTTATCACAGTCTCAGTTTAAGTTGACAAGATTTGTGGAAGGTTTATTTTAAAGCACTGCGTGATCAGTAGTTTGGTAGGCCCAGGTTATTTCATCTTCCAAATCACTCTCAGCAATGCCGCTCATTCTGGATTTTACCAGTACAAGTGAAACTACAGTAGTTTCTCAAATAGCAGAATCAGCAGGAGCAGTTTGCTCAGACCACATGCAGACACTTGATATCAGCCACAATGTTCTTCTAAAGTAAGGAAGCAGAAGCACTACATATATATGACATTTTACAAATCTGCTGACCAACCTACTAATGAATTTCACAATCTTGCACTAAATATACAGTATGTGAACTGCAACCATGTCAGCTTGGGTCATGATATTAAAATAATTTTCCTATAGTTTGAGTCATATACAACAAGTGATTTAGTTATCAAATGACAGCTAAATAAAGCTCTATAAGAGGAACTGGATTTATTATCCATATAGTTTCCAGGTCAAACCAAAGGCTACTTCAAAGGTCTTGCAAACCCTCTTGCATTCTGCTTTAAGGAGGAAAACACAAAGTAATCTTTGGCAATAGCCTCCTGCCTTTTTTTAATAAAAGAAAAGCATAATGAAAGCTGTCAAAATAAAGTAAAGCTTTAAAAAAAAATGCTTAGCAAAGACACAACTTCTGCCCTCTCCCTGGATATGCTGGTGCCGTCATTGTACTTTATCATTGCCTCTAGGAAAAACAAAGACTTGAAATCCCATGACAATGCACAGTAATACACCGCAGGAGCACATTCTCATGGGATTTAGATCTCGCAGTTTACCTGTCCTTTCCTTTGGGATCTTTCTCAGTGGCCCTCAGGGAATCACACAGCTTTCTCATCAAAATTTCCTGTTACTCCTGAATATGTGCGCTGCAATCTCCATTCATTCTACAGAAAGACCTTCAAGTAGAAATATAGGTAAAACTTTTTATTTTCATTTTGAATAGCGCAAGGGAGGGTTATATTCCCCATTTCAGAGATTTCCTTTCACTTATGTCCCATAGCCAAACAGGAAGTGAGAGGAAATTACTGCAAATTAAGGGAATCCCTTGGGGACCTCTAGGTCACCAGAACTAGTGTCCACATTGAAAGATTCCTCTCTGTTGCTTTTCTGGGGACAGAACCCTTGTGGAATACCCTGCGCTTGGTGAAATAAGAACTAAAACGAATACTATTGCTATATATGTATATGATAATGGAAAAAAGGACAAATAGAAAGAGTGAATCTTCCTAATGGGGCCACAGACTGAAATAAAAACCTAATGAGTGTACTAATGTATTTTCACTCTGTCCAAAATTAAAAATAAAATGGATTTAGTTATACTTTCAGTCTTTTGTCCAAACCATGGAAAGTATTTCCATAGGAATCAAAGGAGATCATGGATTTTGTAGGCTTTGGAAGAGAAGGTGTGTGATGCACATAAGCTACATAGTGAAGAAATTGTAGAATTAGAGGCATGTAAGTGCAAGACCTGTAAGGTCTCATTCACACATCCTAAATTGGCCAAGGTGCTGCAAGTATACTGCAGATACCTACACACAGGATCCAAGGTGTTCTGATCAATGATGGCTGATTAGCCTGTACAACTCAAGGACAGACTGAAAGAAACCCAGGTTGCCCAAGGCTGTAAGAATGTATTTGTACATATATCCGCACTTCCAGCAGTTACCTGCAGTTGGAAACAGTTGTCCAACCCTGGAAGTAGACAGATTGTGCCCAGGCCTGAACATCTGCCCCTTATTGCAGTTAACTGCAAGATGTGTAGATATATGAGGATACGTGCTTATAGCTACAGACAGTGCTGGCTCCTTTCAGCCTGTCATTGAGTTGTTCAGGCTCCTGGGATACGTATACTTACATAGTTACATAGTTAGTCTGGCTGAAAAAAGTCAAAAGTCCATCAAGTTCAACCAAAAAAAAGTTATTATCCTATACCCACCATTGATCCAGAGGAAGGCAACATCCCCCCCCCCCCAGGACAGCATGGTCCCAACTGGAAAAAATTCCTTCCTGATCCCCCGAGAGGCAATCGGATGTTCCTTGGATCAACTTTACCTATAAAGTACTTGATGCACCATAGCCAATTTAGGATGCGAGAATTGTGGTCTTCTTTCAGTACAGTTATCTTTTATACTTCAAGGACCTATACAACCAAAAGAAGGAAATAGGAGTTAGAAATGATTATTCTTCAGCAAGATAAAATGCTAGGTTGGTAATACTGTACGTCTTTAGTTTTGCAGAGGCTGCATTTCAACACTTTGTTTGGACTCTAACCTTTCTATCTGTGTAGACCCAAGTCTGACCTTTTTATTATAATTTTAAGCAGTAAGCTATTTTTACATCAAGGCAATAACCATTACCCAGCGTTCAGTCAAACAAAGTGTTATCTCTAGTGCAGGTATGAAGTATGATACGTAAACTCCCACCGATGGCTAATGTTGTGTAAATAGGCACTAGAAAAGGACTGGAAAAGTTTTATATTGCCTGACAGTTATTAAATGTAATGACATCATGGTGTTGTAAGACCAGTGGAACTGGTAAATGTGATGCATGATGCAATGCCCCGACATGGCTATACGAATGTCAGTTTTTAGATCATTATTGCAGAATGTTGTATTGTGCAATGTTTTGCCAGACCACAAAGTGATTATATATTTTGGTCAAATGTGTACAATGATTAAATAATCAAGAAATACATTTTGTAGATATGATATTTAAGCAGCATAACTCCTGAGTGAGCCAAATGGATTTACTTAAAGGGACATTCTACCCAAAATTCACATTTTAAAGTTCAGTAGATGTTTGAGAAGTAAAATCATTTTAGCTTTAGGTTACTCCAGTTGCAAGATCTCTGCCTTTTTATTCTCATGGATGTACACCTGCAGCAGCCATTGATAGGGGGTCCACCCTGTTCAACTTTAATGTATGCTTCCTTTGACAAATTAGTATTGTGTTACTGCACACACTGTTATGTGATATAGGCAACCAGTGCATTGCACTGCAGAAGCAAACATGATTCTAAAGCAGATTTTTAACACATCACATGGTATGGCTGGAGGGCCTGGGCTGCTGTTAGAAATCACAAGGCTCCGTACAGCCTATCTGACAGGCCCTCCCACTGAAAATATCAAATTGTATTTTTGCTTAAGTACCACGGTTGCAATGCTATGCTTCACTGCCATGGCAGAAATTATGCCTCCATCAAACAAGGACCCATTCAAGTGAATTGCACTGCTCTGCAAGTACTCCTCAACCACTAGTGCAGGGTTAAAGCAGGTGGTGAGGAAGCAATATGCCATCTAACTGCCTGTCAAATGCTCTCTGAAGAGCGATCCAAATGCTGACTGCTCCTCAGAGAGCAAAACACATTTGAATGAGCCCCTTTTGTTAAAAAATGTTTTAGAGTTTAAAATTTAAAACATTTTTTTTTTAATTGTATTATTTATTTAAATTTTTAACTGCCCTGTTGGGGGGCTCTGTTTCAAGGGTCTAGACAGACCCCCAATGTCTCACATTTGAAATGGAGAGAGGAAACGAGGATATAGATTCATTAGTACCTTTCCCTGCAGCCTCAGCTACAATGTTCAGTGAATGAATGGGAAGAGCTCAGTTTACTATGCTTCAGTGACGAATGGACACAGGAGTGATCAGTATCAATCACTCACTGTACTCATTCAGGAAAGGAAGGGGTCAGTAAATATGACATATCTACCCCCCTACTCTCCATCCTGAAACAATCCTTCTATGTGCCAACAGCAGCTGCAAGAGGAGAGGAGGGAAGCCAGCAGCACTGCAGGGGATGGGGCACACAGGGGGACCTGGACAGTAGGTGGAAGGGGGGAGCAGCAGATCTCAGAAAATTTCCCCCTGTAGCACAGCTGGAGGGAGAAAAAGGAGCGGGGAGCCAACATCACTGCAGGGGGGTCCACACGAGTCAGAAGTGTCAGCAATAAGGCAATACAGCCAGCCCTAATGCTTGGCAGGTGCCTGGGCCCTTATTTTGAACTTAAGGAGTGCAGGCCCAGTACAGAAGGGCCGGTTGTACTGCCTTTTTAGTGGCCTTGCCTCTAGCACTTACTGTACTTTGGTATAGGGGGTGCTATTATGCATATGTATGTAGTGCAATGCAGAGGTGTGAAAGTTGCCTTACTGTTTAAATTATGGAGAAAGCAGTGGAAGGAGTTGGAACACCCAAGTATGGGTGGGAACACAAACATCTCAAGGTCTATGGCCAAGAGGACTTGTAATTGCAGTCTTCAATGAAAATAAGAAGCCAGCAGGTGATTCAGCCTACCATACTCTGCTTAGAACTATATCACTTTTGGTTTGACTGATCCTTTATAATAATAATATTGCAGAAAGCAATATGCTATGTGCAGTAAACCATAATTACAGATTTAATGTTCATTGTACTAATTGTTGATGAAAAGTGAAATCTGGTCACACAAACATTAATCTTTACTCTGTCCCTTTAAAGTGTTAGTTTACTTCCAGCTGACATTGTACTACTAGCACATTCTCCATAAAGCAGAACAAATGAAAAATCCAGCAGGTGAAGAGATGGCAATGATAGGGTGGTTTTAGAAATTCACTTGCAGAGATATTGCTGCTGAAGACCAAAGAGAGAAGTCCAAGGTCAGTCAACCCTTGGCATCCAATAAGGATTAATCTGTTATATAAGCCATATAGTCTTAGAGAATTTATTGATCCTAATAATGCTGTAACAACGTAAAGTTTTTCTTGTACTAAACTTAGGGGGCCCAGTGCAACCCCAAGGATTGCAAACAGAGAACCAGCAGCATCCTTCCCATTTGGACACTCAGAAGCCTCCTGGTCAAGATCTCCTCCCACAGAATGAACCACAGATGCCATCATCAACCGCAGTTCAGAAGCCTTCCTCCATAGAACACATGTCTTCTGCTGCCAGGAACATGGAGCAAGAATTCAGACATCAGACGGAGCAGCCTCAAAAAGCTGCACCTCATCCCCAGCTGAAGTAAGACCATAATAAAAATGATGCACTAGTTTGCTTATTACCAGGAATATTTGATGATCTGATATACCATAAAGTTATATATAGATATACAGTATGTTATGACATGATACATTGATACCAGTGCCTGGTATAATTTACAATAGTCTACTTTTCAAGTATATAATGTGGACACCTTGAGTGATGGCTTATATGGCATTGACAGAACACCTCTTAATATGTGGATAATAAACATATTAAATACCCTACAGGGTAAATAAACAAAACCTATAATTAAATAATATGTTGACAGCAATTGATAAACCTCATAAAAAAATGGATAGAGCTGCTTTCAGGCCTTTGTAGCTGGACTGGTTCCTCTCCAAGCTTATGCAGGCTGTCCTTCCTTCGATGGACTGCAGGGCAGTGGAGCTCCCTTCTTCACCTTGTCCTTTATCCTCCTTCAGCTTCCAGCCTCCAGCCTGGAGGCAGAACCCCCCTTCTCCGGGGCCTCATCCCAGGCTACACAGACAGCAGCACCTCTCAGCACTCCATCTTCCACCCGACTCCCTTGTTGGCCAGGCTCTGCCATATTTATGGGCTTGTCTACAACACTGCCAAGCCTCCTGCCTGGGATTGGTCAGACTCCCATAAATATGCAGATCAGCCCTCCTCACCTCCACCTACTGACTTCTAGAAGCTTCTCCAAGCTTCTAGAACAGGGGGAGGTACCAGAGGAATTACCTGTAAAGCCCTTCAGCATGACCTGAAGTAACCCTTTTTATAAACCCAGAGTTCTAGCAAGCCTGCAACTACTGTCAACAAACTATGTACAGCAGAGGACGCTACAGTAACCAATCAGCTTCTAACTTCAGCTTGTTCATTTACGCTTTGGAAATAAAACCTGGAAGCTGATTGGTTTCTGTGCAGAGCTACACCAGATTTTACTCTCTCCAGTTTTAGTAAATAACCCTCTCTGTCTAATTGAGGACATTGACAGCAATAAAAGCCTAACAAGCTGTATTACCCTTTCGCAATCAGCTTATAAGTACGGTAGATTTCACAGCCTATTTTACAGAAAGTAGTATGTCTCACATTAAATGGCTTCAAGAATATAAAAAGTACTAGAAGACTATCGATAGTTATAATAAGTGGCTCTTTTCCAGATGTATATCAAATGATATTTATATTGATACAGAACTTGTCCCAAAAATTATGGGGTTAGACACTGCCTATAAAGGCATGGACTGTAAATTATTCAGTATACTCTAAAGTGCTGCAGAATATGTTGTTATGATATAGGCTTACATTGGATAAATAATAATAATATTTCCTCCAGTCTAAAAGAATAGGCAGCATGAACTTGTCATCTGAACCAAGTCTTATTTGTATAGCTCTGGGCCAATGCTTCTACCTCTCTGCAGTTGCAATCCAGAGTACGCAGCAGGATTTCTTAACCAATGGTTTGATATAATACATTTGTAGTACTATTCTTTGTAAAAAATATTGAGGCCGTTGACAGTATTAACATACAAATAACAGAGCGGAGCCTGAACATGGCGGCAATGTAGGAGCTCGTGGACGGAGCTCCGTGGTCTGACCTCCCCAGGCCTCCAAGCTTATCCCCTGGAGTATGTTAGAGCCTAGCGGTGGGGGACTTACCCGGTCTGACGGCTCCCGGCGGAGGAGAGACTGATGCGGGTGAGGGAAAGGAGAGGAGCGGCTGGCGATTGAGGAGGAGAGAGTCCCTGGACGCTGGGAGACGAGAGGGGCCGGCGCGATCACGTGACCGGCCGCAAAGCACCTCTGGGAGACCGGGAAGCCGGCCGGCCGGCGTTTTGTGGAGAGAGAGCAGCGCTGACCTGTTTGCCGGGGGCCGATACACTCTCACACTCTCCCACTTTCCCCCTACCCCCCTAGTAACCCTGGAGCCTAAAAGTAGGAGAAAGGAGAACTACTGAGACCTGGACAAGGAGTCTGAAGAGACCCTGGGAGTTCCCCCCCATGAACAGACCCTCAGAGGAATCGACCGAAAAGGCACTCACTGGAAGAAGACATAGGAGGAGGGTGAGTGACACTTATGAATAGCATTTTTTGAAGATCTATCATGCTGACCTCTAAAAAGTGTGTATAAGAACGGGGGACCCCTAGAGACTGTATAAAAAGTGGAAGAGGTACGCAGAGAGAAGAGGAGAGGCTCGGGGAGAAGAAGGGGGAGAGGGGGGAAGGAGGAGGAGGAGGAGAAGAGAAGGAGAAAAAACCAGCAGGGGGACAGAGCAGAGACTTGAAAGATTTAAGAAATAATTTCCCGCCCTACCCACAAACTTACAAGGACCATAAGAAGGATAAGTGCCACAGAGAAAAATGAAAAACAAAAATGTAAAAGGAAGTGGGCTTAAAGGGTCCCAGACTGGCACAATTAAAAAATACACATCCCAAGGAAACGTAACCCCAGAAAGACCTCAGAGCAGATCTGAAAAAGGAGAAGCAGACCTTAGTATGGAAAGAAGCCCTAGAGTATCAATGGGCCCGGACACTAGTAACCAGCAAATACCAGGCAATACAGAGGCGGAAAAAGACCTACAAATACCTAATAAAAAGGAAATGGCAGAAATGTTTAAAGAACTGGAGAAAACAATAAAACAAGAAATGGTAAACATTCGCAGTGATCTGGGGCACCTCTTGGAGAGAATTGAGGAAACGGAGGAGAAAGTTAAAGGTCAGACCCAGGCTATCTCTGAACTTGAAAAAGAACTAATTAATATAGGGAAAGTCCAAGAAAAACTGTTATATAAGGCTGAGATACAAGAAAATAAAGATAGGAAAAGAAACATCTTGATACGTGGGTTTCAGAAGACCTAAAGGGAGAAAGCTTGCAAGAGGTGGTTTGCAAAATATTTAACATTATATAACAGACAGCTCTGAAATGGAAAGCTCTAAAATAGAAGGAACCTTTAGAAAAGGGAAAATCTTGAGAAACCAGGGGAAAGAAAGGCCGAGAGATATAATTGTCAAATTTTATGAATTTCGGGATAAAGAAAAAATCTGGAAGAAGACTAAGGGAAAATCAGTAATTAAGTATGAAGGAGGAGACATACAGATATATGCGGATCTGGCGCCAGAGACTTTGTGGAGAAGGAGAACTTTGAGACCCCTATTGAAAAGGTTGAAAGAACAAAAGGTGCAATATAGATGGGGGACTCCCGAATGCCTAATAGGATGGAAAAATGGGACTACAGCATACCTTAGGTTTCCAGAAGATATGAAAAATTTTTGTGACAGTTTAAAAATTCAAAGAATGGAAATCCCTGGCTGGGAAGAAGAACGATGAGAAAGTAGAACGAAGAGAAAAGAGGACTGGCAATTTGTGAGGGGGGGGGGGTGGAGGGGGCGAGAGGGATGGAGGAAGAGAGAGGTGTGTGTTTTTTTTTTTTTTTTTTTTTTTTTTTTTTTTTTTTTTTATCTCCTTCTTCTCCTCTCGCCACCTACCCCCACTCTATTGCCTTTGTTATGGATTTTTTCTTCTTTTTTTTCATTTTTTCTCTCTCTCTCTCTCTTTTCTGCCAGTGATAATATCCAGGTGGGGCTTGGGAGGTTATGGGGAGGTTAGTCAAGGGGAAAGTCGTCCATGGACGGAGTTTTAGCCCAAGGATCAAATCAAAGGTGGATTTTTTAATCCATAAATGATTAGTAGGCAAATGTTAGGCCTAAAAAGAGGGGGGAGGGGAGGGGGGAGGGAGGGGGTTGGAAGGTTGGCAGGGTGGGAAAAGGGGGGGAGGGAGGGGGTTGGAAGGTTGGCAGGGTGGGAAATGGGAGAGGGAGGTTGTTTTCTTTGCAAAATAAAAGATGAAATAAAAACAAGTGAGAAGGGAGAAGGAGAGAGAAATAAAAAATATAGATGGAGGAGAAAAGAGGAAATTTAAGGAAGATGGAAGAGATTCAGTTTATAAACATATAACATAAATGGGTTGAACTGTCCCGGGAAAAATTATATAGATTATTTAAAGAATTACATCATAGAGAAGCCTCAGTGATATTTTTACAGGACACATCTTGAGATAAGCTCAAATGTTAGACTGAGGTCTAAAAAATACCCAACATGGTACTATGCAGATTCCCCGGTTAAAAGAGCAAAAGGGGTAGCAATAGGCCTGGCAAAGAACGTTAGGTTTGAGTTGGAAGATAGAAAAACAGACCCAGATGGGAGATTTTTGTTCTTAAGGGGCAAGTTACAGGAGATCGAGTGTACACTGGCCAACATCTACTGCCCTAATAAAAAAACCGGAGGAGTATCTGAAAAAGGTGTTGAGGAAGTTGATGGACTTTAAAAAAGGACGTTTGATCCTGGCAGGGGACTTTAACTTTTGTATGGACCCACAAAGGATGCCACCTCCCATATAAAGACAGAAGGAACTAAGGCCCTGAAATTATTGAAAAAAGAATTACACATAAGTCAACTGGTAGATGCCTGGAGAATTACACACACGCAAGATAGAGATTATACTTTTTTCTCAAATATGCACAAGAGATATTCAAGATTAGATTATATATTAATAGAACATCAATTAATCGACCACCTGACCCAGGTAGATATAGAGACAATAACTTTATCAGACCACGCTCCAGTTACTATGAAAATGGAATGGGGGAGAAGGAAAAGCGGAGGGCTGGGATGGAAAATTGAATGAGACACTTTTAGTGGAAAGGGAAATAGCTCAGAAAATAGGGGAGGAGATCGAACGCTTTTTTAAGGAGAATGAGACAGGGGAGGTGTCAACAGCCACAGTGTGGGAGGCTCACAAAGCTTATATAAGAGGAATATTAATGGCGATTGGGGCTAGAGAAGAAAAAAGAAAGAAGGGAGAAAATGAATGAGCTCTTAGAAGAAATAGATAAATTAGAACAAATACATAAGAATAGAATAACAAAAGAAATAGAGCTGAAGTTAAAAAAAAAAGAAGGAAGAACTGAAAAAAAATGATAGAAGAGGAGAGGAGAAAAGTATATAATAGAGTTCTAAGTGA